AGCTTGTCGGCCGAAGCTTCGAGGAACAAGGGCCGTATCGCTGACAGGCCTCGAAGTTTCTGCCATGATGGCAGGCCTGCTTCAAAGGAGCCGAGTCACAATGAAGAAGCAGGGCACTTCGTTGAGATTGCAGGGCAATGACAGGCCGATGTATGGGTATTATAGAGAAGAGAGCCAGACATCGTCACTCAGATTCCATCGACCTTGCCGAAGTTTATCAGGTTTGTGAGGCTTTTGGCCAATGGGGTATTGTGCAGTGCTGATAGTATGCTGACAGTGCCAGACAGATCTAGGAGTATGAAGCGGACCAGTCAGAAGGGCAGTGCTGGTGATAGGTAGAGTCTATCTTGATGGCTTGTCATCAGCGGCGCGATAGTTCGACATCACTAGTGGAGGAGATTTGCTTCAAGGTTTCAGAAAGAAGACGAGTATGCTCATTGAATTTCATAGGGGTATCATAGACGATCAGGCAAAGCCCTGTCTAGTTACGTTTGCGTCAGACTGCTTCCTCCTTTCGTAAAGAGCAAAACTCCATCATAACGTCGCAATGTTCCAAACCAAAGAAAAAATAGCGTGTGAAATAGCGGCCCATGCCTAGGAACGCATTAGACATTATCACGCTGTAAGAGACAACATGAAGTTTCCATCACGGATCGGCCGGAGTTTCCTGCTTCTTGCGCAACAACTACCCCGCGTGGGATGACAGCTTTAGGCACGAAGACCTCTTTCTAGGTACAGCGAACACAGGAGCAAAAGTCGGTTCCACTACAATTGAACATCACGCTGTTGGCGAGAGCAGCTGTCTCTGGTGACAATGTATGCAGGATGATCGCTGTGGGGAGTGTAGGCGGTCTTGCGGGTTCGAGATCAGGGTCGATCGGATGAACTTCGTGATAGGAAATGAAGTAAAGAGAAAACGTCGCATCAAGGGTATGGCGAGGAGCAGATGATCTTCGTAAAGCGTTCGGGAAGGGACCGTGGTATGATCGTGACTTCGTCAGTTGCTTGGGCTTCGGCTAGAATCGACCAAAGAATAAGGGAATGCGCATTTTCAAGGTCTAGCAACAGGAAGTCAGTGACGATGAACAACGAGACTTTAGTTGCGGCGTTTTCGGAGGCCATCCCAGAACTGTCACTTACCTCGGCTCACAGAAGCGGGATCGCAGTGTCCAGCGTCTTCCGGCTTTAAATTGAATGCGTGACCGCTCAGCTCGAACCGAAAGCAGGAAGGCTGCCGGACTGAAGCTGCGGGACACCGTTCCTCACAACCACGGAGCTGGTTCCGGAGGGCGCTCGCTCGCCGGGAGACGTGATGCTCAGGGGGCTGGTGTACGGGATCTGTGCCGCAGCCATAAGCCGCTGCGTATGCTCGTACATGGAGAGGGTGTAAGCGTCCATGCTGCCCGAGAACTGCCGGGTAGTCGAGGTAGATGAAGTCGAGGTCGACGAGTTCGTGGTAGTCGAAGCGGGACGGGGGATTTGCGAAGACATCTTGGGAAGTTTGTTCTGCAAGTTTAAACCGTTTAAGGGCTGCGTGCGACTCAAGCCAGATCGCGACGAGAAAGTGTCCCTGGATAAGGTATTTATAAATGCAGATCTCCTTTTCCCGCAAAACCCCGTGGCTGCGGACTGCCCGTGTGTGTGCTACTTGACTTGAGACCCAGCCCGCCCCGGCCTCACCCTTTTCAATGATCACTCCACTGCCAGATTGAAACCTTGTCCAACTTTCCAGTCTCCAGGGACCTCAGAAAAACCTGATCCGGCGCTGGAAAGGATGGGGTGGTGAGCAGCGCCCAATAACCGCATGCATATTCCCTGTCTAGTGTCACGCGGGGACCCTCAGGTGAAGGGGGAAAACCAGGCCGTCTGGCGTCGTTCCCCCTCCTTCAGGTCTGGTCTTCGTTTGCGTTCCCGCCCTCTTGTCTCTCTTTCTCGCGTCTTCGCCCTGGAAATCTGGCCTGTCAAGTGTCCGGCAATTACTGTCAGGGTCCATTGCTATCTTCCCTCGGGCCCTTAGGTCCTTAAACCGTTGGAATGATCGCCGTAATACCTTAATTGTGGCTGTATTCGTCCCATGTATCCAATCAGTGACCCTTATTTTCGATTCTGGTGCCTTGGACCCCTCTTTCCCCGGGCACATGAAGGATGGCGAAGCCACACTGGCCAATGCTAATTGTCATGCTAAAGACCAGTCGCTTCAGAAGAGCAGCCCGGAGAGCGCGACTTTGCTCACTTTCTTGCGGAGCCACGACAACCACGACAGTCAATGCCTGGCAGCTCTCAAAGAACAAGCGGGGGTTATTGAGATTTCACTGTTGTTAATGAGCAAGGGGCCATGTGACGGCCACGATGTCATCGTCATGCTCACGTCACCACTCTTCTATTCAACACAACCATACATTGTGTTCAGTCTGTCGGGCGTACCCATACCTCGGGAGCTGGATATTGGTAGATAACAATCATCACAACATGGCATTCAGGCAGCTAAAAAAGAAGCCGAAAAAGCCATGGAGCCAACATCAGCCGTGAGTGGTGATGTTTCTCCTTCTGCTGTTTGTGGTCAGGACAATTAGTTGGACAGCGGACCATTTCCTCCTGGAGGCCGCCGCGCAGTAGGAGGAACAGCTCCGACGCTTGTTCGGCAGGGTCCCGGCTAGATCGGATCTCCTCACCATCAGCTGCAGGTTTATTGAACCCCTGGACGACGGCTCGCTCACGGGCCAACGGAGCCAGCCCCGTCCCGCCTCTCCATTCACATCCAGAGTCAAGAAGAACTGCGTACTCCGATTTTGGCGCCCTTGTACGACAGGACTTTCACAAAGCGCCAGACATTAGACGCGTCTAGGCCGGAGCAGAATCTCCTCTGTGAAAGAGCATCTCGAACCTGCATGTGGTGACGCCCATGACAAGTTGCCAACTGTCCCTAATCGCGGCGCCAGAATTAATGCTGGCAAGTGTCCCACAAAGGAAATAACCGGGCTGAGCCACCAACGCAAGCCACTTTGGCCGGAGTTGGAAGAGAAGACCAGTGCGGTGTGAGACACACGACCCAGTTACGGAAACTTGTTCGTGCGACTTTTGTTATTGGAGATGGGAATCGCATTTCACCATTGGGATCAAGTCATGGTACGCAGTAATAGCCTACAACCCCGAAAGGCAGTCCAATTACTAAGGGTGTCAATCGTGCCCACTGACTGTGGTGGAGCAGGTCCTGTGGCTGAGAATGTGGGCAGTCTGGATGGGAGCGCTGTATACGTCATAGCCATAGCCATAGCCATGTTGGAAAGTAGGTTGCGATGTGTTGAACGGCCGTCTCGAGAACAAGAAAGACTCAGCAAATACCAGGTTGTTAACGTAACATTATGCCGTACTTTATGTTGTGTCTTCGCCCTGTTTTCGATGGCATTCACCCGTATGCCCTGCAAGAGCCCAGCTATGGCGACGGTAGATATTGCCTGTCCGCAATATCTCAATGAAACTGCCTTGACTGAATGGGTCGAAAGACTGTATCTGCCGGAAACACTGGTGGTATGCAGCATGAATCACCCGAAGCCATGAACTCAAATGTATTGTTGCGACACCTTCGTTCTTTCGCTGGAAACCAATGTTGGTTGACGTTCATGCATGTTCATGTTCGATGTTCTTAGGCATCAACAATCCGAGCCACGGTTAACTGCCCAATTAGGGGTTGCGGCAGATCACTGCACATCATGTAAGGAAGCACCCTGAACACAGTGTTACAAGATTCGGGAAGCCCTGTCTCTTCTTCAGAAAAGATCAAGGGCTGTTTGAATCCAGATAACTTGATTCGTCGATCGAAGCAGCCTCGGGAACCTGGCATCCATGGGGATACCCGAGCAAGGAATCGACACCAGAAACCTGTTCTGCGTCAACAACTGGCCTGATTTCTTCCCACGGTCCGTTCCCGACGCACTTTTCTGCTACTTTACTTGTGTATTCATCCAAGCGTTTTCTGATCCAACTCGTTGGTAATTGGACCTCGTATCCGCCGAGCTACCTGAACACTGCCTTAAGGTATTGTGAAGCAACATTTCTAGAGTCCAGAGGGGCCATGAGCTCTTCGAAACGAGAGGCATTTCACCCGGCTTGACTGTCATGTGATACGAATCTTTTCGTCGGCATTTCTCCCCCCAAATCTTGAACAAAAACCCTCATCGACGCAGGCTGCAGAAAATTTGTGAACAATCGTCCCGGGATCGCCAGTATGAGATCACTGCTTACTTGGGCTCACAGCTTGCAGCAAGCTCCACAAGACTCACGGTGTGCCATACTGTCCGTAGAACAAGATACAGTCAGGGGTCAAATTGAGTTCAATGGGAATGCCGAATTAGACGACTCAAGTGGTGATCTTCCGAAGGTGGTCACTTGGAGGGGACAGGAAGCTTTCACACATTTTGCTAGCATATGAAGATGAATCTCAGAGTGAATTACATCTGGAAGCAGTGTATTGCAGCCGCTCATGAAGGCAAAAAACAATCCAGTGAGTCTTCGTGAAAACCTGATGAGTCCTCGGTCGGTCCACTTTCGTGGGGCTCACCCAGTGTCTTGAGTTGCTGATCATCCCCGTTTTGTTGATATGCAAATACGACCAGATAGATGCCTTGAGCCAGCGGATTTCGTGGGGTCCGTTGGCCACCTTACCGTGTATTCATTGCGAGTGAGTCTTGCTTCGAGGCACGATTCAGTGGTTCGTTACCCCTGGAGACCTTGCCTTCACACTAGACAGTCTCGATTGCTTTAGAAATTATGAGCAATGCCATCTTTCGGCCACCAATGATCCATCGGAATCTCTGCTCATGCTCCTTCAGGAAACTGCTTGTCAAACATGACTCCGACGAACACCATCAAAACCGCAGCATATGCAAGAGTAGACGCGAAGACTTGATCCAGTTGATCAACACACCCGACAATGAGAAATCCAAAAGCAAAAGTAAACGCCGTAGCAACTCCGAGGTTAAGATACAAGTCTCGTTGAAGTACTAGCAGCCACATAGGGCCGACAAGGAAAGCCCCTCCAACCACTGCGCCCATAATCTTCCACCAAAGTTGCGACGAAGCACTGCCTTAGCCGATGCGTTCCTTGTCCCGCCAAGAGGCTCGGGGTTCTCTTCACTGCTCCAGGGCCCAGTCGGCAGAGCATGGAGCTTCATGGACTCGTACGTCATTCGCGGCGGATCGGCGAAGGCTCTAGCTCCTACTCTGTTCTTCCGCATCACCTTGTCGAGAACGTAGCTATCTTGGTAGCGCTCACTCGACGCGACGAAGAAGTCGAATGGTTGCTGAGAGACTTTTGTCATGTACTCATAGTCTTGTACAGCTTGAGCTTCTATTTGTTAGTAATGTACCGAAGTCCACGCCCCTGATCTGATGAAGGCCGAACGCGGGATGGATGGAGCGCTTTCTCTTGACTGCTTACTGTATTCTCTAGGCAGACCTGCTAGGAGTTTGCCATCTTTTGCGATGGCTTCTGGTCCCATTGCATTACCCCGGACTTGCATCTCGACTGCCTTATCAACGAGGCCGACTTGCAGAGCTCGTAGATGCATGCGCTGCATCTCGGCAATATTGACGCGGTACCCCCAATCACCCATTTGCAATTTGTTGAGCAGACGGTAAATGGTATGCAAGACAGGCGGCTTCCTAGACACCAGCCTTACGAAATTCTTTGCGTGGAGTTTGGTAGCAATGTCCCATGCAAATTCGCTGTTAAGCTCAGTCTCGTCCATGTCGTCTCTTGAGAGCCGCGGAGCATTAATGGGACTATCGGGCATCTTCTCAGACGGCTCATGTGTTTTTTGCGCGGTTTCTAAGATAGTGTTGATTGCGTCTTGGATCTCTTTGGCCTCTTCGTTCTGCGAGATTGGCGAATTGCCCTGGGCTATCGGTGGCTGCATGATCGCTCGACTCTGGAGGAAGCCTGCTAGACCCCTATGCTGTTTTGGCAAAGAATCCCTCCTGGAACCTCAAGGCTACATGTAGTGATCGCACGAAGCCTTTCAAAGATAGAGTTGAGCTTGCAGGAACTTGACGTGACAACAACGAACAACTCAAAGGGAGGGGTGGGGGGGGCTCCAAACGATGAAAGAACTAGCAAGCTGCTTCTTAGTCTCAACTTTCAGAAAAGTGCTTGTTTACTTCCACATTGCCACAAACCTCGCCCTCATGGAGTATAGGTCAAGGTTTGAGGATCCCTTGTGGTTTAAGGAGACGTCGCTCGCAGCGGGTGTGTACTTTAGCTCTTGAAGCTGAGATGCCCGTAGGATCTTCGTGGTGACACCGGTGTTGGTACAGCGCCACAAAACGCCATGGCGAGGACTAACTGCCGTAGTGTTGAATCTAGCCTCTGATCATCCAAAACGCGTGCCTCAGATGTTTGCACGGCTGGAGAAAAACCTACACCATTCACTGTGAGTGCAGCAAACGCCATGCCAAACCATTCAGAAACTGAGTTTGCATTCCGGCAGTAGGCATGCATTGGTGTCAGTGCAAGATAATACTACGTGCCTCGATCACAACATTAAACAGGATCCTGGGTGACCTCGAAGCTCAGGATAGGGCGGTTTTGTGTTAATGAGAACTGGCATAAAAGCGATTTAGTAGGAAAAAGGGAGCATCCCGCGCCTCTGATAGGCACATGGATTCAAAAGCTAGCAGAGACCAGCAACGCCGGTTTGAAACTTCCAACGCAATGATCGCCCACTATCAAGTCAAGCTGAGTCTTAGTGTGGTGTTTTGCTTTTGCCACGTTCCTAAATCCTCAGTTGTAGCTCATGAAATTGTCGCCTCGCCCATAGACTGTCATTTGCCGCGGCGGCTGAAGCACTTTAATTGAACATGCTCCGCCGCCTTGAAAGTCAAGGGTCTGATGTGATTTACCGCGGGTCCCTTCTCGTTCTGTCAGGACATCATCTCCACCTCAGTTATCAAACGATCTTCAGTGTTTGATGATTCCCATAGGGCTCTGTGTTACATGACCCTTGAAGCCTGAACAGAAATCATCCGCATCGCAACTTGTCCTAGTAGGTTGGTATTGACAGCTGTCAATGACTGGGGTTGTGGTGAACAACCAAAGCTTTCAAAGCTAATTCTCACCCAGGCCGAAGAAAAATGGGATTCCTCGAATCGAGATGGTCTCCAGTCAAAGTAGTGTTTGAGAGCCACAAGTCGCCCGGCAAAGGCGGGAAATTCCTCCTCAGCTACGATTCAGAAAGACACTGCGAATCTCAAGTCAGGTTTCTTAATGGCCATAAAAGCGTCATAGCGAAGGCAGCGGAGAGGTTGATGGGAGATCGGACAGTCTGGCAGATTACCATTGACGGCCTCCAAGTACAAGAAATCCAATCGCCGACCTCTGTTGACGGCGTAACGGAATATCGTCTTACTGTCCCAAATTCAGATGCAGCGCGTAGAGCAAAGCAGTGCCTGGGGCTTCCAGATACGAGGGTAGAATGCAGCGAAGACTCGGTCCGGTGGCCGGTCATCGTTAAGTCTACCTTTACGGAAGTGGAATTGGATAGACTTGCATTCTCGGATGTTGAACGGGCCCAAGTTTCGGTAGTCATGGGGCCGAGAAAACCGAGACCTGTGCCCAAACCAGACTCTCGTATCGACGAAGAGAGTAACAGGGCTCTGCCTGAAGCTTCCGTTCTTGGACCAACTGTGTCTGTAGAAGAATCCGACAAGCCAAAGAAAACAGGAGCGGCTAGAGCTTTCTTGAAACGTTTTGGCTTTTAATCCATATAGAGGGTTAGGACCCAGACATTAGTTCCTATCGTTGGAATATTCCCATGGAACAAGTACTTATACCATTAATTCCAAATTGCGTGTTAAACTGAACAGGATTGGGATCATTGAAGAAAGGCGTCTGAAGCAAAAAGGATCTGGTAGGTATCGATCGTACTGCGTGACATATCCCATCAAGACAAACGTGCACTAGCAAAGCTGTATGTGCACTAGCAAAGCTGTATGTGCACTAGCAAAGCTGTATGTGCACTAGCAAAGCTGTATCTATGTGATGTAACGCGCCCTTGGGATTCTTACGTGCTGGATTGAGCGACGGCTTCTTTGGAGTATCGACGCGGAGGGTCGGGACCGGGGCAAGATACGCCGGAGGAAGCGTCGAAGCACACCCCGCTTCCCCTTGCAATGAAGGGCGAATTTCCCGTCACTTTGCTGTTCCTGGAGATAGGCCACAGATGGGACAAAAGATCTAGCTCGCAACGTGGGACAAGGTAGTAATATCTGACCAGAACCAAGAGGCGATTTATCGACTCGACAGCGTATCATAACCTCTGTGACTCCATGTGGTAATATTTACTCATAAATAGGCTAGAAAGCTTTCTTCGGACTGAGATACAGGATAGTGCTCTTTATTGGTATGGGTGATGTGGAGGTAAAGCACCACAATGAGAGTCAAACCACGAATCCTAGGTAAGTTTCCTGTCAGTAATTACCTTAGCCTGGAATGTTCGGGCTCTAAGCAAACCGCAGTCATGAAGGGGCTTTGAAGGATCAAGACCGAGTCATTGCCAACAATTGCAACATCGCTTACCTCGAGTTCCCCATGGGGAATGCCTCTGAACTATCCGCGCCCGAGTAGTGCGGCATGCCGAATGATCCGACTTCTACTTACTTAGTAGGCACTGGAGCGGGTCGTCAAGCTCCTCACTCTAACTTGACTTGGACATATCTATGTCGAAGGATCATCGCTTATTGGTAGCTGCATACGAAGACTCGTGTTCTAGGCTTCTGTTTAAGGAAGCGCACAAATCAAGATGTCCGATCCTGTCTCCTAACTTATACAAGTAGTTGTCAGACTGAGCCGTATGCGGGGAATTTGACAAGGGCGACTAAGTAGGTGGTATTAGAATCCTTCATCTGCTGTGGCGCGAAGTCTATCATCGCTTGTCAGTCGGTGATCTTGGGACTTTCCAAGGTCCAAGAAGGATTCAAACGCGTAGCCGCGAGTAACTCGTTGATCCTCGAGAAGCCAAGAAACCGAATGCCATTCGCGGAATTTTTTGACAGAAGTTGAATTCGGATTGAACAGGACAGCGTGGTTGGTGCGCCTGGCTTTCATTAACATCGAAGGAAGGAAGTCTAGATGTCGATGGCAGGTGGAATATAACCCAGAAGGCCTAGAAGCATAAAGCACAATTAAAACAGCGAAAAAAAAACTATAAATGTTCACTTTTCCCATGCTTCAACTGCTTTTATCTCTCGTATCTAAAAAGCCAGTCAATCGATCTTCTAATCACCTTGTCCAACTTCGGTCTGTGAGTATCGAAGCGTCTCAAACTCAGCCTCTGGAGTGTAAGACTAACGAGACCAGCACAAACATTTGCACACTCTACTTCTCAACCAATTCGTCCACAATGAAGTTCACCGCATTCATCATCACTGCTCTGGCAGCTGCTTGTGTCTCGGCCACCCCAATCGCCGAAGCCGAAGCTCCTGCGTTGACCTTCAGAGGTGAACAGTTGGAGGCTCGCGCGTATTGGTGCACTGCTTGCAAGAACGGAAAGCAAACCTGCTGCACCGCCACCCAGTGCAGCTCTGGCTACCCGTGCTAAGCAATGAGATTAGAACGACACCAGCCGAATCTATGTCGAATGGGACAAGCTTGACGGCTCTGTGTGCCACTGTATGACACCAAGTGGGCAAATTTATGGCCGTTCTACCATCTTGCGCAATGGGCGGAATGGCTTGAGACGGAATCGCATAGCTTTCATGGGTCTCATAGGCGGTCATCGAAATATTTAGTTGAATCCACTTGCTAAGGACGGTGACCTACTTTATCATCGAACTTGTTCTGTAATCTTGGTTTTTTCAATGTGTGTCTTCTTACTTCTTGTAAGTGTGGGTCAATGCGATTAGTGCTCGACACCTCATTTCAAAGCAGAGCCATGGTCTGCACTCCTGTTGGGCTCTGCCCTAGCCGATTCGCACTCTCATTACTCCCGCAAAGTTGCTTCACAACCACTCCATTTCTAGGCAAGTACTTGTTGTGCCTTGAGGCTTTTAGTGAAGTACTGGAACTATCTCTAGTTGATCTCTTGGAGATACGGGCGTAGCTCCCGAAATCGCAGCGGATCTATCGAAGTTATCAGCTATCCGAGTTCCGCTGACAAGTTGCTGACCACGTTTGCAGTGGGTTCAATACTATCCCCAATCCCCGTTCCCTCCGATCATCAAGCGGGCACTCAGGGGGAAAAGAGTTGTTTAGCAGCATCCGATTGCTGATCGACAGGTCCAGGTGGAGGGCGCGGCAGGGAGTTGACTCGCAAACCCATAGCAGAGACGTTTAACCCCTCCAACTCACCAATGACGCCCATCTCTCAACTGGAGAACTGCCGATGTCAACGTTGAATAGTGTGGGGTTCTGCCCACCAATTTCCGATGAAAGGCGAACCGTGCAACGTCTTGTTTCCTGTTCGGGCAGTGCAGAGTCGCGATGTTAGTGGACCATCGGTCCATTGAAGGATGTCATTCAGGAGTCGGGATTGCTAGGATGTCGAAAAATTGCGAAGAAGCCCCCCGACTTCCGGAGGACTTCCGTGATATAATTCTTAAGTCTCTCCTGATGCTGTTGAAGGAACAGTTGCCAAGCCACTTTCGTCAACTCCAGTCTGTCGCTACAGTCACAGAGAGTCGCCTCCGTCATGATGTGCAACGCAAAGTTCGTGGCTACCTTTGCCGGCCTCCTCGCCTCCGCGAGCGCAGGTCCCAGCGTGCAACTTGAAAACGGTCTCACGGTCCAGGGCCGGATCGCCCCCGATGCCTCCAACGTCGCCGAGTTCCTTGGCATCCCCTACGCCGCGCCGCCTCTCGACGATTTGCGCTGGGAACCCCCTCAGCCCTATGTTGCTCCCCAGTCAAGTACTCCTTTCGCCAA